CTCCCTGCCCACCCCACTTACCCCGCTCTGAAGTCAGTATGCTGCGATTGATGGGTGTGATAATGAAGTTGGAGCAGCTTGCTAAGAGAGTTGCCATCTCCCCCGGTGATCCCCCTCTCCCCTCCCCACTCCACCGTTCGACAGACCATCTGCTCTGTGTGCGTCTCCAGTTACATACTCGAGACCGACAAACGTGTGTGTAGCATGCACCCGTAATCATTCAGACGAGCTGGTTTTAACAGCGCTTGTAAGTGGCAGAGGGAAGGGAGGAATAATGCAAAGGCTCAGGGATGCGCTGAAAGGGGAGCCCTGGATCGAGTGTAGGTGTTTTACAGGTACTTACTCTCTTAACATCGCCGAGTAAACAGACGCCTTTTAATGCACTTAAACGCTCTTAAACTTAGAGCTGAGGGAACGCCGCCGGTTGAATTCCAGTGGCGTGGCGTGAATTGCGATATATCGATTGTTATGCCGTTTAAACCTATGGTAAAGAATCGATTACTAAGGTGTTCGCTGCAAACACCCTGTTTATCGATCCTTTTCCAAAGGTTTAGACGGCATAGAAATCGATATATCGCAATTCACGCCACGCCACTGTTGAATTCCAATGACTACTAGGCGTAACAGTGGTCTCTGTGCCAGCGTTGGATCGTCCCTAGGCGGCATTTGAGTAGCTTTATAGGGAGGGCATGGATAACTCAAAAATTTGGAGGTTAGGTTTGATCAGGGCATGTAGCTCTTGGGCCCAGAGGACAGCCAACCTGAGAACTCGCATTATCCCGTGGTACTAATTTTCACATTTCAACTATTTACACTGATCAAAAATCATAACAGCACGTATAAAACTTTGATTTCGCATACATTTTTTCAGTTTCAAAGTTTAAGACGCTTGTTTGCAAAGCTCTGTCGGCCATATTGAGTAATCTTCCAAATGCATAGGTAGGCAGCGGCTTTTTTCTGGTGCTTTTCATTTTTCACGTTGTCGCCCTTTTGGGCCCTAAGAGTTACATAAATCGAGTTGTCCTAGGCGGCATGTGCCTGGAAATTGTGCTTGGACTCTTAAAAATTAGGAATTTTGTGCCCGGCGCAACGTAGAACCTAAATGTCAGTGCATTCTTGATTCCTATTGCAGCCTTCCTCCTTACAAAATTTCTTGTTTCTCTTAGCCCGGAACGGACATTATGTCTATTCAGCCCGTAGCTTCTTTTTCAGTTTAGTGTTGTGACACAGAAATCGGGTTTCTTACGATCGATCAGCAAAAAATACCATCGTTCTTCGAGCGAGCTTATCTCACGTTTCCGAAGGGGCGAGGGCTCAGAGTGACTGCTCGGCGGTGAAACAAAGTTAAATATTACGAGTCGGAATGAAACATTTTTCTCCTGCTCCGGTTGAGGAGACTCGATCGCCCTTTGGCCCGTCGTTTCCGGGTGGCGGGGCCGGCGAAGTTTTGATGGCCTCGCAAATGAAGCGGCGAACAATGCGACTCGTAAACAAGGAATCATCCAGCAATCTGCGCGGACCGACTCGAGTCAGGCCCGAGTTAATCAGACTTCCAGCGTCGCTGACGAATCCCACTGCTTTCGGGTGGAATCCAGCGGGGAAATCCGGAATTCCCGCGGCGATCTGGCGTGTCCGGCTCGGAAGATTTGTGTTGCCGTGAGCTCCGGGCTCCTTTCATCAAAAGTTGTGCGTCATTTTAATTGTGTTATCACCTCGAAAGTGTTGGAAAGTTCTGCTGTAAATGATTTCGCTTTTTATCAGTCGCCCAGACTGCTTTTCCCTCCGCTCTAAATTGAATGAAATGTATCTTTTCTTCCTCGTCTCTCTTTGCCTCTGCACGGCTAGTGTTTGAGCGCTGATCACGCGGCTGTAAGGGAATGATAGCTTAGCTTTGTAGAGCGTACGGGATCGGGATGCGGGATGACGTCAACATTCAATGGCGAGGCGTGATAATCGAGTATCGATAGTATCCCATTTAAAGCTATGGTAAAGAATCGATTGTTATGGTGTTCGTTGCAAACGCCCTGATGATCGATCTTTTTTCATAGGTTTGAATGGCGTATCAATCGATACATTACAAAGCACGCCACGCCGCTGATGTACATTCCGAAAACTGTTTACTGGATTAGTGCTGAATATTAGCTCGAAAATACCGAAATGGGTTACAATTGGATCAGATTGTTTGGTCCGCTACAATATATGCTAGAAACCCCACGGTAAAAATCTTAGCATTGTAATCAAACTAGGTGAAGGTTAAGTTCCAAGTTAGCTAAGACGTGTAAATCTAAAAGTACTTTTTACTTTCTCGCTCCCCTTGCGGGTAGAGGAGGTATTGTCATTTAAAAAAAAAAAAAAAAAACCGAGTGATCGGAATGAAATGTAAAGTGTGAACTTTGGTTGATTTAAACTACAGAACGGTAACTGTTTTTTGAACGTTTTAACTGACGGACAAAAGCATTAATATCTACCGAAGAAGGTGAATGACTGCTTATTCGGCTTTCATTGAAAAGAGAGTTGAATGGTATCAAGTAAGTTGTAGGGGGAACTGAAACTTCGCCATGAATTCAATATGCTTCCATTTTACACAATAGTTTTTGTCAGTCTCAAAACCATTAAAAACTCTGCCATTTTTGACTACAAACCCCCGAGTTAATTTTCGGAAAAATGACTGGCATTTCATTCGAATCTCGCGGTGAAGTATAACAGCGAAGTAAGCTGAAATAGTGAAATGTGACAAACCAATGGCGAGGAAAGCGCTCAAAGATTCGATTTAGTCTCCATTTCCTGTCCTGCTTCAAAGTCTTCATTTTTCACGTTACTTTGTTTCAGTTCAATTTTGATTCGTATCGAGCATCAAAGCGGTAAATTGAAACATGACTTAAACCTGTTTCGGCCCATTAGAGAAAACTGAAAACCCGGAAACCGGAGGAAACTCGAACGATGAATCAAAATTTCTAAATCGTGCTTGTAAAACCGCATACGTTCCATTCTTCAAATACGGAGCAGACGTGTTTTCCAGTTGTTATTTGGTGAGCACCCGATGGATCTACGCGACAGGATGACCCGGAAATGAGAAAAAGCTCAGCAAAAAGAGATAAGGTTTGGAAAATGCGAGATGAGTAAACTCATTGACATGATCGATAGCAGTGATATCACTGATATCTATGCACGTACACTGGTCCATTGAAACAATGCCGCCCGGACGTGTTCAGTTTTTTGAACTCCGAAATAGAATCGCAGCTTTGGGTTTCCGATCGATAACGAAACTTTGTGCAGGATACTGAAGCAAAACTAAATGTGCACAGGCATTCACTAAACTGCACACCTAAAAAAAAGGGGGCAAACTAGAAGGTAAAATATCATTTTTCGATAGACTATAATGATAAGAAAGTTTTAGGCTTCTTCTTCGCGTGCGCTTTGATTCGTAAAATTCGCCCGATGAAGTTACGGTCTAGTGATTTCGGTCTAAATTCAACTGAATAAATGAAGTTGGCTCTTCAACGCTTAATGCACTGGAAAAAAACATATTGGATCTAGAGTCCAGACTCTTAAAAACATCGACAAGAAAAAATACTATTGATTCAATCAGAATCTAGCTTAAATCAAGAACTAAGCCTCTTAATTTAAGCGGATTTCGTTTTGATTCAAGCAAAAATCCGATTGAATCAAGAGTATTTTTTCTTGCCAAACCTTTATTGCATTATTTTCTAGAGAGTAATTTGTGTACAAACCGTTGAAATGAAAAATTACTTCGGTCCTTACAACAACAACTTGACCCATCTAGATGTTTGAAAAAGTTAATCTTGCCTTACCTCCCACCTGCATAAATTTTGCAGAGGAAAATGAGCTTTCCTTAAACATTTTGTACACCTTCCTTGCAAAATTGAGATTGAAAGATTAGCTTAGTCTTCATTTTTTCGTGAGGGGCGATCCTCACTTTTATACGTATTGGGGTTGGTGCTCCATCCTTAACAGCGTCGCGACACCTCCTAAGCATTGTCTTTGATCGTGTCTAGGAGGATTTTCGAAAACAAATGAGGATGCACGCCCAAACCAATCAACAACTTGTTGAAGTGAGGAAAAAGATTACCCCTTAAATCGCTTAAATATTCAGCACAGACGTGCAAATAAGAGGATTGGATATTGGAGGGATGAGAAAACACACGATCGAAGATGAATAAATGAATACGTAAAAGTGCTTTTGAGAGCGACTTTCAATGTGCTCATTTTGTTTTGTTGTGCCACAAACGACTGCTTCAATCGCTTTGTACAAATCACCGTTTAAATTGTGTATTCAGTAGTAATGAAGACAGCTATAAGCTATTCGAGACTTCTAAAAATCATTTATCTTCACTAAAAACACTGTTTGCTGTCATAATTTAAACTTTTCATATTGAAGTCCTTAGTTGTTCGCTAAGTGTGGAGACATAAATGAAGAATGTAAGTAATCTACTGGAAGAGAGCAATATTTTGCGGATTTTAGCTGCACGCAGAATCGATGTGTTTTCTTCCGCGAGTCAATTATTTGTTGTTCCTTGCTTTCTATGGCCTACTGCTTCCGTACCAGCTAAAGTAGTGTTGAATTGTCAGAGCAGCGAAATAACAGAGGATCTTAATTTAGCGCTGATGATAACTACATATATTTCAATGGTTTTAATTTCATCAGAATTTTTTAGACCTGTAAAATTATTTTCTCCGTCTGAGAAATATGACACTTAAATAAATTGAGCCCTTCTGATAAATCATGATAGTGATTTTGTCTCGACGATAAAATAAGGATGAAACCAATTCCTGCGACTCACTATTTTGATGGAAAATAGGGGGAGGGGGGGATTGCCTAATCAAAATTTTTTGGACAAAAGCGTGACAAATATAACGTGGGAAGTTTCTTATATTCACTATTGAAACTACCTCTGTGTATCAGCGAAATTTTTGTGGTCTTATAAGGACAAATTTCAAAATTATAAATGGTTGTAGGGGGAAGAAAAAAACAAACTTACGTAATTCAAGGCTAGGTCCGGGTGATTAGTCTGTATTCCGTCATCCAAAATTGACACCACGACTCCTTTTCCCGTGTATCCTTTTTCCCAAGCAGGTCCAATGTTCATATCGAACCCATCTTTAGCACCGCCATTCTGAAACAATAAAACGAGGCGGTTGGGTTAGATCAACAACTTCATGCAGATAAACAAGAAGTAAATTCGTAAAAGAGGGTTTTAATAAAATACCATTTTCTTTTCCAACGATAAACTTAATATTCCAGTTCGATTTAAAAATGATGAGAGGAAAAGAAACGCAATTCTACCTTGAGCCAGTCTCAATTTTAGACGAACAGTTTCAACGCACCCGTGTTGAGGAGCGCGCCCAAATCAGAGTCTGCATCAGCTGACGGTAAATTGATTTTGAAAATGAACAGGAAAAATATACATATCTTGATTGCAAAGATAGATAAAATTGAAAACCCCAATATAGCACTTAGGCTACGTCCGCAATTTCGGATTTTGGATATTTGACTGAAAAATCGAGTTTTCCGTAAAAAAAAATACCCCCTAATATCGAATCTCACAAAAATCGATCAAACAGGAGCCCATATCGCACTGTAGACCATGTCAGCCATCTTGAATTTTGTAATTTTAAGAATTTGACTAAAAATTCGAAAGTCCTGCCAAAATTACCCCCCTCCCCGGTACAAGACGGGCGCGTTCAAAACTAAAAAAGTTTCAAGAACAGGTTTTCCTTCAGGCGAGCCTCTTTCGTTGTACACATTCAGAATGATAAATCTTTCTTTTTAAATAAATTAGGGCTTAGATTATTGTCACCGGCAATAATGGGTGTAAAATATGCGACGTAACTTAAAATACAGCAGTTAACAGGTTTACTAGTCTTATTAGGTAGTGCTATGAACTTGAGTTAGGTTTGAACCCAAGAATACAACTATATCAACTTCGGTGTGTTGCACAGTATCACGCGCATTTGAAGGCGTTTTATATTGGTCCTACCGCGATCTTACGGATGGTAGAGTCTTTATGTGTTGACTGTCAGTGCTTTTGTGCTGCATATGATGAATGCAAAACGATGAGTATTTTTCATATATTAGTGTTACTTAAAACTTAAAATGAAATTTTTTATTAAAATAAAGTATTCAACTTCATTTTGAACAAATAATGAAAGTTTGACTCTTTTGTGCTGAGAAGTTCTTTTTCCATGTCAAGGACAGTCACCGTCAAAAAACATAGGCGCGTGTTTTCCACGCATTTTTTTGTGTGAGTGAAAACAATTTTCAGATAATATTGAGGAAAGAAGTTGGCATATTTTTTTCCCTTTGTTTTTAAGAAGGTATTGGAACCTACGTGGAGACTTGCATTAACGAAATGGGACGTAAGTGCGCATTTTTGCACCCTAGGTATTGATGTGCATCATAATGTATGCGTTTCGAAGCCGCGACAAGTACACGCCGCGCTGCGCCGTGAAAAAGCAAGAGTGCCTCACTCATATACCACAATGCCTTGCTATGAGTTCTCTCACGACTGCAAGCGTGTCGTAAGTTCGTAAGATCTTCCCTAACCGGACGAGTTTTTACTCAAGTGCTTTCCCAGTGTTGGTATTGTGTTCCGTGTGAAACGTGGGTACCCACAGTCACTTACAGAGCTCTTTAAGCGGAGTAAGATCCATTGCTATGTTTCAGGATTTATTTTTATTGCTCATTTTCCTTTCGTTCTTTGAACTTTCTTGAAATGTCCCTACAGATATGATAAAATTGGAGAATCTTCAAAAACTGATCAAATCAGGAGGCTTCGATTCCATTCAACAGCCTACATTAATTTTTCCATGATTTAATTAAAGATCGTATTCGATACATCAAACGGGTGAGATTATATCGATATCGATTGGTTCAAAACATAAACATAGCCTCAAAAGCCAATCGAGTAATCTGACGGAACGGGTTTTATGTGATAGATTTTTGATTCGTATGAGTACTAATTGGCCAAAGAGAAGTGAAATTGCTAAGAAATTTCTCGTTTTCAGCTTTTCTGACAAATATCTTAAAATTTTGGTTTGAGGTTATGTTCTATTGTTTTGAACCAAACGATACATCCAATCACTGTCGAATACGATCCATAGGAGAACTCTGATGTTCTATTTTATGCTGCGAAAGGATGATTAACTTTTTCGCGAATTTTTACGGCGCGAAGAGTAAAAATGCGAGAAGTTGAAACGGGCTCAGCAAACTAAATCACTATAAAAATTGTGAAATCATCAGGTCTTAGGAGGTTATATTGACTGAACTACAGCGAAATATGTTTCATGTCTCGAGTCGTAGGGCCTCCAAAAATAGAAAAAGTATGGTGGGATTCTATTTGGCAGCACCGAGTGCAAGTAACACGTAAACGCGAGTGCATACTTTTCGGGAACCGCTTTTTTTTCACTTGAGCGAAAGCTGCTTAGCGGCGGCGGAGCCCGACGCGAAAAGCGCTAGATCATTACGACGCCTCAAAAGAGATACGGAGCACCCTCTCCTTCTCGACCCGCCCAAACCCGACCCTCCCTTTGCTCCGACAAACATCAAACGTCCACGGAGCAGCAAAATGACTAAAAAATGCGGCTCCACCCCCGACTTCCACCTCCGTGCCCGAGACTTCAAAGCGACTAACAAGAACTTGACACTCTCCATTCACACTCGGTTGGAAAGAATTCCGCGCCGGCACGATGGCGGGCAGAGAGAGAGGGCGGGAGCATGCGAAATTGTATTATCAATTTGAGAGGTGGCTTTTCAACGGACGTGCTTGTTTAGCTCAGGAAACGTGTAAAATTTCGCCAAGAAACACGTAGCGCGAGTCGAACGTCTACTTCGGACCTTCGCGCTTGGCGAAAATTCCCTTCGAAGCGGCTGCTCTTGCTTGATACGCTGCAGTTAGCTCCGTAGTCATTTGCAATCTAAAAATATTGGTATTTTTGTTGAATACTTCTAATTTAACCAAAAAATTATTGAATTTTAGTGTATTAGTTTTTTTTTAAATAATATGAAAAGTTCAAAGACTGAAATTTAAACCAACAAAATCCAAAGGTTTTTTTTCTTTAAGATTCTAGACTCATAAAAAAATTGACATGAAAGGACACACTTGATTCAATCGGATTTTTGCTTATATCGACAGCCGAGCCTCTTAATTCAAGCAGATTTCCTTATAATTCAAGCAAACCTACGATTAAATCAAGAATAATCTTTCTCATCAATTTTTTTAGGAGTATGGACTCTGAATCCAAGAGACTTTTTTTCAAAGAGCTACACGACTTTTGTAAAAAATTATTCACACTTCTTGTAATACAAATATTGTTCGTGCGAATAAATCTTTAATAGGTCTAGATTGAAAGGTTTTTACATTATAGAACAGTGTAAATACGTGCGTGGTTTATTCTCTTTTAAAAAAAGTCCTAAAGTTCATTTTTTTACTGACAAAAGACAGCTTTTCAAGACAAACTTAGGCAACCTTTCTTAGGTCTTAAAAGGAGACGTAACGAGAGTCGCAAAAAAAACGAGATAAAAAAAAGACCGTGTAAAAAGGCTATCCAAAAAAGGAGGGTGTCGAAGTTGAGATTAACGTTGACTACGCGGAGTAGTTATGTTTCAGGGAGAGGAAAATTGAGAGGTAAGATGAAAGGATCTCTTTGATGCAATCCGCAAAACAGGAAAATCTTCGAGATCTCGCTCTGCAGATTTTCCGTTGAAAGAAGCATTACCACCTGAAGATGGTAGCTGACATTACTCCTCGAATAAAAGCCCGACTTTTCCTCGTTAAGCTTGAAAATTGAGCCGCTGAGGTGAGGGATAACAGGTGTTTCCGTTCAACAGGTCATCTGTATAGACATTTGAGAGCTTTATTCTTTTGCGGCATCACGGTTTCTTGATGGCTGAAGATGTTTCGTCGAAGGATCCCTAACGAACCCTTTCCGAGTTTAAAGCTTTGATAGCTAAAAAGGTTGACAATAAAGCCCATCGGGTACAGAGAGGTACCCAAGCCAAATTTTTCTAAGAGGGTAAGCATGGCGGATGGCCTTGTTTTGATTTTGGAGTCGAGTTGTGCAAGTTCCCTACTATTTCTACCAATGAATCCCCTTCTGACTTTAACGGATTCATGTTAAAACAATTTTTGGACCAAGAAAATAAGCCCAAACAAGAACGCAAATAGTCCCGTTTTGCTTGAATACAATTACATGATGGGAACCCTAGTTTTTTTGAGAAAATTTTTCAGGCTAACAATAAAATCAGAGAACCTGTCAAAATTCCGTTAAATGCTCTTAACATTAAGGCTTCGAATTATGATCTGATGTTATTGAGACTGCAATAGAGTATACAACATCGAAAACTGAAAATGTACATACGTTTGACCCTAAAAGGGGATTTTTCGCTTTGAGCACTAACCTTTATAGTTTTTCTATTTAGATTAATTTTGCCCGTCCGTCGGGGTCACGCAAAATTTGTGGAAACTCGATTGGTGTTGAATGCTTTCACAATATTACAATATTATCCGACGTCTTATTCCTAGATTATCGGGCTCGTAAAGGTACTGGGCGGCGCAGGGGGTCAGCAACCCCCTTCCCTCGAGGTTGTTAAGAATAATTTTTCAACCCTTCTCGAACCCAATTATAGCGCGGGCAGTATGAAAAACACCGCGGCAAATTAAAAGTGAGAGGGATGGCAGATGGCGTGCATTGCATAATCATGAGATTCCGCGGCGCGTTTGCCGGCAGCTTATAATAACTTCATCGCGGGAGTGCGGAGTGGCAAAAGGGGAATTGAAACCCTCCGAATGTAGAGAGGGAGGGGCAGGGGAGTCGTGGGAACCGGAGGCTCGTGAGTATCAGAAGTAAAGTTGTGAGGTGGCGAAAATAATACTATAGGTGGCGCTAGTAAGCCACCGCCGCCGCGCTACGCGACTCGAATGCGCGCGGAATAGTCACGCTTACGGGCGAGGTTGTCAAGTTGTACGTTGAATGTTCGCTTTTTCCGGGGTTTAAGGGAGATCGCTCTGCGAACTGACAACGGCGGGGGACTCAGGGTGGTGTCGGTGGAGTGCTGTGATGAATGGGGATTTTGCCCGTCATAATTAGGCACCGACGTCTTGCCTCCCATCGGGAC